AGTCTGGGCAGATCTGAACTTGTTACAGCAGCTCTAATACCATGATAAAATTCAGATCTGCACTAGTATTAGATTAAGAACAACAGTAGAAAGAGATTGAATGAGAGAAAAGAGAAGAGGAAGAGAAGAGAAGAGAGGGGAAGCAAAAAATGGTTCGAACAAGAGAGAAAAATCTCTCTCTAGTCAACCAGGTTGATATATTTATAGTTTACTAACATAAAACACAACTACTGTTATGCCCCTACTTAAGTATGGGACACATCACACACATCATTCAAGTCAAACATAACACCTCACTCCCAATATAAATAAAAGGACCAATCTTCCCCTATACAGCCAACACTAACAAAGTGAATGAATGAAGCTTTTTTTTTTTGATGAATGAAGAAATTTACTAATCACAGAAAATAGGAGGTACAAGCATCCCAGTGAATGAATGAAGTTTATTTATCTATCAAAAAAAGGCAGCTGTTGTGGATTCACCAGAATTGTTACCTTTTCAAATGGAAGCAATTATTCCATCTGGGCTAAAGTTTTTGATGTTTTCTTAACTGTCAAAGGAAAACTTTAGTATTTCACTGACAAGAAACCAGAATTTGGTACCTTAACCTATTCTGATTCAGTATAGGAAGATGTCCAAATTAAAACTTGGTTATAGAACCCTATGGAGCTAAAAATCAGTAGTGAGTTAACTTTTCTATATACATTTAGGGAAATAGGGGAACAAGTGAGGAAGACATATTCAGGAAATAACAATAGTACACATCTATCAGTTATTTCAGGCCTTCTTTAATCTTCAACAAGGTGACAACTTTTGAGGATTATTTTTATGAAATGATGAGGTTGAGTGAAGAATTCAACATGTATAGGCCTGTTTTTCTCATATGTTTAAATAATACAAAAAAAAAAATAGAGATGATTGTATGTTGCAGAAAAATGCAAATAAAAAGAAAAAAAATATTAAAAATAACATTGATTAAGAAATACATAAATTTTAAACTAAATGTTTTAAAAAGCCTGCCAACTCAAATGTGTCATCATCATCCACACCTTATCCCAACAATATGAGGTCAGCTACATGAATCCTGTTTCGCCAATCTGTTCTATTTAAAGTCATATGATCCACTGTTAAATTATTAATGCTTAAATCATTTCATACTACTTCTACCCATGTCCTTTTTTATCAACCCCGAGCTCTTCTAGCCCCTTCAATGTGTAACAAATCACTTTTTCTAACTAATGCAGTTAGTGGTCTTCTATGCACGTGCCCAAACCATCTTAGTCTACTCTCTCTCATTTTCTCACCTATTGGAGCTACTCCTAGGTTCCTACAGATAACTTCATTCCTAAACCTATCCTTTTTAACTTTTCCACTCATCCATCTTAGCATTCTCATTTCTGCCACAATCATTTTCTGGACATGTTCCTTTTTTGCTGTCAAACACTCCGCTCTATACAACATAGCTGGCCTCACAACTGTTTTATAGAATTTTACTTTAATCTAAGTGGTATTTGCTTATCACATAAAAGTCCAGATGCACCCCCTCCATTTTTGCCTTTCCTGCTCTAATTCTTTGGGTGGCATCCTCCTCTATCTTTCCCTTGTTATGAATTATTGAACCAAGGTACCAGAAATGGTCATATTGAGTTATCTCTTGGTCTCCAATCCTAAGTGTATCTTGATTTACACTATTATTACTAAATTTACATGATTTACATGTCATATAATCTTTTTTAATCCTACTTATTTTAAAACCTCTTATTTCTAAGGCATTTGTCCCTAACTTAATTTTGCATTTAATCTTTCATTAGTTTCATCAATTAAAACAATGTCATCCGCAAACAATATGCACCATGGAACTTCCTCCCGAATATGTTTAGTCAATTTATCTAAAGTCCAGTGCAAATAGATAAGGGTTAAGTGTTGAACCTTGGTGAAGGCCCATAATAACTATAAAATCTGAAGCCTCTCCCACTAATGTTCTAACATTGGTTGTTGCCCCCTCATGTATCCCTAATTAGGTCTACATACCTATTTTGAACCCCTTAAAGAGTTGTGAAAGGGCAGTCCAAAATAGGACTAGCCCCCAAAAAATTACAAATGTGCCTAGAACATATTATTTCTTTGAACCCCTTGCTTAGCTAAGTTGTCAACCAAGTTATTCATAGATCTCCTAATCCATTTGATTTGGATATACAAATCCTTTGAGAGCCATTTGAACTGCCAGAATTCATTTTTGAGATGCCAAACCACCCCTTC